TCGTCCGCGTCGCTATTACGTTACTGCTAACTCTCCCGAAGCTCATTTGTTTCATTCTGTTACCTGGGATACGACCTAGTGTGTTAGAACTTGGGCCGACCGTAGAACGAAATTTTCAAGGGCCACTCGTGCCTTTCCTATAGGCACGTTGCTGCCGCATGAGCTCCGTTATCGGACTATGCGGTAGGGGAATTTTGAGAATCGCAGCCAGTAACGTGTCACCGTTGCACCGCAATGTAGATCGTTTGCCGCGTTAACCCTTTGGTGCCTGAATGAACATTGCGTTCACTCACACCTTTAAGCTTTCACGTTTTGAATTAACCTGTGTATGTACAAACATTTACAAGGATACAGGGGATTCTTTTTTCTTGATCAAATGAAAGACCAGACAATGGGGAAAGTCAAGGAAAAATTGCCCCTTGTGAGATGTAGACTCTTAAATGAAAGTTAAAGAAATATTACTTTTTTTTTAAATATTGACTCTTGAATGAAAGTCCAGGGAAAATTGCTTCTTATGAGATATAGACTCTTAAATGAAAGTTAAAGAAAAATTACTTTTTTAAAAAATATTGAAATGTTACAAAAATTTTTGAAATATTGATTCTCAAATGAAAGTCTAGAAAAAATTGCTATTTATTGAAATATTGACTCTCAAATGAGAGTTCAGGAAGAATTGCTATTTTTGAAATATTGACTCTCAAGTGAAAGTCTAGAATAAATTGCTATTTTTGAAATATTGACTCTCAAATGAGAGTTCAGGAAGGAATGCTATTTTTGAAATATTGATTCTCAAATGAAAGTCGAAAAAATTGCTATTTATTGAAATATTGACTCTCAAATGAGAGTCCAGAAAGAATTGCTATTTATGAAATATTGACTCCCGAATAAAAGTCAAGAAAAAAAATTGCTTGTCGAGCAAAATTTCAATTACCATGTTGCACAAGGATTATCTCTGATTCTCGATAGATTTTCAATCTCTCGTGACGTAAATACAGATTCGAGATGGAATGTAAGTTAAACAAACGAGAGAGGGAGTACATAAAAGAGTGAAGAATTGATTCGTGTAAATAATAAAGCTGGGATCCCGTTAAACGTTCCACGGAAGCGATAACATTCATCGCCGTCTGATCGCACGTGGAATAATCGGATACAGGCGAAAACCAATAGCAGCCCGGCGAAATATGCAAATCCCATTTTCCTCTGTTTTCGACTCGACCAGTCACGAACGCTTTATATTTTCCTCGTGCTGCCGAGAGATATCGATTCGATGGAATTTACTTACGCCCAATTCCGTAGAACGACACGTATATGTACACAGGGAACGTCCCGAGCCTGTCCATCAACTCTACAGCGAACGGATCCACGTACTGGGTGTACGCCGAATTAATCGACCTGACAGTTCCTTGAAACTCGCGTGAGAAAGTGGCACGAATCCAGCGAAATTTTACGGAAAGTGAACACTTTCACGATTGGATGGTTCCGTGAAATATTTTCATAAACTTCGTATGAATTTTTTAGGTAAATGCACACTCTGGAATTGTCGTCACATTGCTACGATGGAAATTGAAACCTCTGGAAGGCAATAACGACTGGAATTCCGCGAAATGAAATTTAATAAAACGAGAATGGTCTTCCTGTTTGGAATGCGGTGCAATTGGAATTGCAATATTTGGGTGAGCAATTGCAATTTTTAAACCGCAATTCCACGAAAATTGCCACGCCTCGGAATTCGGTACAGCTGGAATTGCGCGTTCTGCGAGGCATCGCGATTGGAATTGCGCGCTCTGCGAGGCATCGCGATTGGAATTGCGCGTTCCGCGAGGCATTGCGTTTTGGAATTGCGCGCTCTGGGAGGCATTGCGATCGGAATTGCGCGCTCTGCAATTCCACGCGACAGGAATTGTAATCTCTGGGGTACGCGAAGATAGGAATTGCGATATTCGAGATGTGCAATGTTCGAAGTGCAACGCGATTAGAATTGCAATCTTTGGAACGCAGCGCAAATGGAATTGCGACACTCTGCGATTCGGCACATCGGGAATTGCAATATTTATACCACGGTACCGATGGAATTGCGATACAATTGGATTTCCACTCTCTGAAATACAATCTGATGGGAATTGCGCTCAATGGAACACAGAACAATGCGTAATTCAATCGACATGGAAAAACAAAAGGGGAAATTCCCTCGCGAGAAATCCTCCGGATGAAAAATTCCCAACCATTTATCATTCCCGAAAAAAATAATAGGTACCTGTCCCCATTGAAAATCAATTTCAGCCTCACTTTCACCGCTTGACACATATTCCCACCTCCCGAAAGATTAATAAGCAGCAAGCTTCGTCGAGAAATAAAAAAAAAAAAAAAACAACGTTTTCATCAAAATCAGACCATCTACCACTCCCCCTCCAAACGCAAGAATAACCTTCACTTTTTACAAGATGCAGCACCCGATCCCATCAATCACCTCTCAGACGTTTTCCCTCTTCCTCCTCCTGCCCCTCCCTACGCTTCTCTCCCCTAGCCAGTACATAAAAATCTGGTCGTGGCTTCGGCGAATTAATCGAATGATTCACAGAAATGACCCTATACACCCTATACACACCCACACGTGTCCGACCTAAGCCCGCGCGGGGACACACGTAACTGTACGTGGCTGTTTACACCCCCCTTCTTCGCCGCCGCGTGTCTGCTTATCCGTGTACATACCTGCTACCAGTCAGGTGGCGTCGAAGGGGGTGGCGGCTGGCTGAACGCGGGATAGACACTAAAGCCAGATCGAGCCTGGTAGGAAATGAAATATCGATGTACCACGTATATCCGACATAGAAACGCCATTACAGCTGTCCCTGCTTACTTCGAACCGCGTGTCCCCGCGTCTTTTTCTACCCTTTTTCTTGTGTCATCTTTTTTTTATCCGATGACTGAGTCTGCCGTTGGAAACCACGTTAGGACGATCAATTAGCTATTGGCTCTTAACTTGCAGGGGCTGCTCCGAGGAACTTGGTTTTCGAATTATTGAAAATTGGGGGAAAGGAGAATTTGTTTGTGATTTTTTCCTTTCGAATGAATATTTTTCTTTTTTTTTTTCAGTTAGAAATGGAGTCAGGGTTGGTAGCAATTTCAATTGTCGCTAATAAGGACGTGAAAGGTGTCTGTAGAGGTAGTTAAGTAGTTCTTTGGAAAGACAGAATTTCATTATTATACTGTATATGCGAAACCTCCAAATTGCATTATTTCACACTCGATTTCTTCTGTTTTGTGGCGCGAAAAATTGCGAAAAAAATCAGTGATATTCCAGCGAGCAAAATGGATATCCTGAATTTTTCAGATCTACCTTCCAACCGGAATTTCGAAAAGCTTTTCAAATTCAAAAATACCTATTTCTCAATTCTCTATTTCGTTTCTTTAAAATCGTATGAACGCTCGATGAAAGTGTTTCATGGCAACAGACGTAGACACAAAGGGTTGTTTATTCGAGCCAGTTAATTTGCCCTGTTTCTTTATGCCGGTAGATGAGACCCTTTCGTAGAATTGTTTTCCGAAGGGGTTAGAATACCTGTTATTCTTCAACACAAAGTGGAAACACCATTTTCCCTTTTCGTAGAATTAAGCAGTCTTCGAAGTACCAAGGGTACGAAAGGGGTATTTTTTCAGTGCAGCTTGAGTTACGGATAATTTGAAAAATTGCACGGAAGCACTGTTCGAAGCGGGGGTAAATGTAGTATCACGTTCGAGAAATCGGTACGACTGTTCGTGAGGCGCATGCAACGAAACGATTTGAACCAATCAGCGCAGCGTTTGATTCTCAAGTGAGTCATTCAACGAATGACTCAGTTTACTTCTATGGACTGCTTTTGACGATAATCCTGAACGCTCGACTTCGGTTTTCTTGAATTTGCATCGGCTGCGCAACGCTCGTTGCCAAACCAATTTGCAATTCGCCTAATTCACTCCATTGCAATTTTAACTGCTGAACATTCAATTGTTACGAACAGAGAGATCATCTCGAAATGATGAACACTCTATCCTAGCGATTTTTGTAACAATTTGGTAAATGGAAGTTTTTAAAAAAATATTCGCGTCTTGATATCTTCCCTGTCAGAGAAAGAGGAAAAAGAGAAAGAGAGAAATTTTCTACAGTTTTCTATCATTACGAGGAATTCTAAAACAAATTCTAAACAAAAGTTTGATATATTTTTCTATTATTATGAGAAGTTCTAAAAAAGATTGAAGTGAGATAGAAAATTTGGTGTATTTCTCTTTTAAGTTTTCTATTATTACGAGAAATTTAAGAAAAGTAAGTACAATAGAGGAAAATGATTTCAGTAGAATTAGGATATTTTCAAGAAAACCAAAGTAGAGCGAGAATGGTGTGTAGCGGATAAGTGGTAAAAGATTCTCGTTTGATTGGAATCTTCTCGACCTGGTCCTGGGCATGTCGGCCCCTAGACCGCTGTCCTCGCTGGGCGATCTATATTCCTGGTTATCCCGTGGCAGGAGAGGTCCTGTCACTCCTAGAGGATCTCCCTCGACGTCCACCAGTCGTCCTGGGCGGCAACAACCACCTGGTCCACCCCTCTGCGAGAAATCACCAGATCTCGTCATGCCGTTCTCTATTCCACCGCCATTTTCAGCACGGTTTCGACCACCAACGAGTACATTTCATCTACTTCTTTCTTATCTCAATCCCTTTGGTTGCTTTCACATATGTCATACTTATTTTATAAATCATCCCTCCAAATTTTCAAGTGTTTAACACATTAAACGCCCAGACTGTTTTGCCGGCTGTTCCGTTCACGCCACACTCGGCCGTCAAGTGGGCCATGCGCGATGGGCGAACTATAAACAGAAGACGACCGAACGAAAAGTATACTGTCAGTCACCGGTGACTGACGCGGCCGAATGAAAAGTATATTGTCAGTCACCGGTGACTGACGCGGCCGAATACGGAAAGTATAGTGTCAGTCACCGGTGACTGACATGGCGCTTAACGTGTTACCTTCGAACAATGTTCGTTTAGTTCGATTTGATAAAAATTGATCACGGTAGATTTTGGGAATTCCGAGTAGTGAGAAAAGTCAGCGATAGGTGTATCGTAGAACTGAGAAAAATTAAACAGAAATAAAGAATAAAAATTCGAAATTTTGAATAACGAGAAAAGTCAGCGAAATGTTATAAAACCCAATAAATAAAAAAGATTTCGAAAATAAAATTCTAAATTTGCAAAAATTTAGAGAAATGTCAGAAACGAATGACAGCAGAATTAAAAAATTTTAAATAATAAAAAAGTTCAGGAAAACGTCAAAGAACGCACAAGGAGAAACTTTCAAACTCGTTTAAAAATTTGATAAAAATCCATGAAAGTAGAATTAAAATCTTTTGAATAATCAAAAATGTGTCATAGGACCCGAGAAAGTAAACTTCCGAAGAAATGTAACGTCGGGAAGTTATGCAAATTTCGTTCACAAACGTTCCAACTTCTCTTTGTCGGTAAATCAACCCCTCGATCGATCGTTCTATTCATGCCAATTGGTCCCTCCCTCCTGATCAGAATCAAAGTCACCGATTAATTAGCCACAAAAGCGTCGGTCAATATGCCAATTTACCAGTGATCTATCATTGATCTAAAGCGGCGCGAGCTGCTGACGTTTGCCACTATGCAGATGACACTTGATTTACGACGAATCCCGGTCGCTCTCCTCTGCTCGAAGATCACGAAACTCACGTGAAATAACGAGCCAGCATAGTTCCTCATCAATCAAACATCACCTGATCGATTCGTCTATTAGCCACGATGAAAACAATCCCCGTCTCCGAGTCGATTAACCACTCATGAATATTGCTAGCTGATTAACGTAAGATACTTGCGCGTTGAAACGTTTTAGGCGAATTCTTTTCTCCTGATTACTTTCTCAGGCTACATGTCGCGTCGATTATGCATTTTTCTCTGGTTCTTCGTATAAACGAACGTTTTTATTCGCTAATGAGGCTTCAACGAGAGAAGCTTTTCGAGCCTTTCAAGTTTCCGCGATTATTCCGGGGCCAATTAGACTTTTCACTGTTTTTCGTCAAGTGTCACTCGCGATTAAGGAGCTGCCAATTAGAAAAGTATCGACATTATTGCAACGAGCCTTCTAACGGAAAGGTATTGAAATTTATCATCCAGAAAAATTCTAACGTTATCCCATCTTAATTAAACTCGGCCCTTCCTCGAGTGTCACTCTCGATTAACTCTAGGAAGCCTAACTTCATTTCAATTAAACAAAAAACTCCTTATCTAATCTACACAAATTACCTTATGAAAAACTAACTGAAGTTTAAAATCCTGTCGACTTTCTTTTTACCACTACTTAGGCTTCCTACAATTCGAGCTTTCTGTTAAATTTCAATTAAACTGCCCCTACCATTTGAACAACAAAATAATCCCAAAAAAAATGTAGATATAAAAATGAATTCCACGTTTCTCTAAATTTCTTCTCCAACAAGAGGGACAATTTTCAGCGACACTTCTCGAGATTCGTGCAAGCGTAGGTATAACACAAAGGTACCAACTTGAAAAAAAAAACAAAACGACACTGTGGAAAGCTTAAGACACTAAAAAAAGGAGACCGGTGAATGAAAGAACAAAGCGAACGCAAAAACCAAAGGGCGAGGCTTTCGTCGTGGAACAGAAACTGATGAATTCCATCGGACGAAGAAGGATTCAACGGTGTCGGCTCGTTTGCAACTCGTTGGCTACGAAACCGGCCATCAGCGAGCTAGCCCGAGCTTTGGACAGGGCTGGCAGGATCTTCTTCGATCTGTTTTCTATTTTCTTTCTTTCTTTTGTTTTGTGCCTGTAGGAACGAACGTGCGGCGAAAGCTTGGTTAAAGCTTTCAGGGGAGCTTTCCAACCCCTGAATCGTGACGCACGAGATGCGATTAGGCCGATCTCCAACGGAACTACTCTTAGCATCCTGCGATCGGGTGCGTGATCTGTCGCGATTCATCGAGCTCCAGGGAAATGCAAGCCTCCTTGGGAAACGGAGTTGGGGAGAAGTTGAAAGGGTTATTTCAGCGGAATTGTTGACTTCTCTTAAGTGATTGCAATAGTATATTTGTTACAGACTTTTCCATTAACCCTAGGTGAATTTTGATCAAACTGATCCGATACATGCCATATTGAAAGTAAGAAACGAATGTGTAAACGTAAAATACAATTTTCCTCTTGTTCATCTCTCTCGGTGCTTTTTACATGAAAATTTAGCGATATAATTTTATTAAACTCGTTGGATAATACTTTTAGCATGGCATATGGCGATCGTACAAAAATTGGTAAAAACTTCTTTTCGTTTCCTGATTGTTATTAACTATCGCTATATGTTTATGGATGTGAAAGGTATGAATTCTCATGTTTCATTAGTATGTATAGGAGGAAAGGAAATTCTTAACTTGATTTTCGGTGAAAATGACTCAATTTCTGAGCAAGGATTAATGAGAAAGCATTGTCGAGACTCTCTTGCAGTATCGAATTTTTTAACGAAAGGAATAATTTTAGATACAATTTTTAGACGAATATTGATATTTCACAGGAAACTTCTAGTGAAATGCATCGGCACTGACATTTTCTAAATATCATAAAAATTTTCTGTGCAACGAACCCTGCGTTGGTCTGGTAAAGTCTGACAAATCCAACTCATGATTTTCATTCTGTTAAAAGTTGGTAAACTAAAAATACATAATATCAAAGAGGCTCGATTTATCTCACTTTGCCAACTAAGTTTTCCTTATTTAAGGCTTCGAAACGACGTGAGAAAAAAATAACAACTCCAACTAGAAATTCGTGAAACTAACGTACAGACCAATATTTCACCAAATGCAATAATTCGTATTTCTCCAAATTCGCCAATAAATACAATTCATTCTTCCCTCTTCCATCTCTAATAATTCGATCATACACTCGATCGAGGCAAGCCAGAACGAAAACAGAAATCCAGCAAAGCTCAGGCGAACTCGTCCGAGAAGCTCGCACTATGTACTGTCTCCCTCGATGTGGTTTAGCGTGAAAGGAAATAAAACAACTTCGCAATCTATATGTATCAGCAGCACAGCGGTGTACTACGCAGTTCTAACAACTGCAAGCGTATCTAACAAGTGACCCATCCAGCATCCAGAGATTCACTAAGAGGAGAGAGAGAGAGAGAGAGAAAAGACAGAAGAAAACGTGAATACTCGAAGCCTCGTTCCACATCTCGTTTAAAAAAAAAGGAACGAAACCGAATACACGAAGCATTCGCAGGAAACATTTACACTGGCTTAATTGCTCAGCATTCAATCCCCAAGGCTTCGAATATTCGCGCAACTTGCATGGCTGAAGCGCTACACAAACAATCTCTCTCGACTGCACAGAGCCCAAAGAGAAAGAAAGACAGAAAGAGAGAGAGAGAAACGCGGAAACACGTTGACGAGGCACAAACCGGAAACGAGGCGACACTGACTGCCAAGGAAGCGCACCAACACTAAGCGAAATCATAAACAACAAACAAACACAGAGAAAGAGAAAGACAGTTTTTTGAACGCTGTATTCAAGTATATGGAAATAGAAGAAGATGAAGAATACGCGAAAGAATACGCCTCTACGAGAATACAGAAAACGAGAGAAAGAAAAGTGTAAGGGTGGTAGTAGTAGTAAGAGGAAAGGAGAATAAAAAAAGGGGTTGCAAGGAGGATTTTCTTTCTTTTTTTTTCCTCGAGTCATGCTTCATCACAGGTCATCGCGATAGCCGAGAGCAATTAAGCAAAAAGAAAAAGTTCCATCTCTCAGATCGACGATTTCAGCAGGGGAAACGGACGCGAGACGTGTCGTGGTAACTCGATGATTCCCTTGGATGTTCTCCAGCTGTTTTTCTTCGTCTTTTGTCCACCAGAGGTTCTTCCTCTTCTTCCTCTTCTTCGTTTCAACGTTCTCTCGCACCTCTCCAATCGACAATGAGCTTTTCCTCCCGGTCTCCTCGTCATTGTTACCTTTCCTTCTTTTTTCTTTCTTTCTTTCATCTCCTCTCTCTTCCTTCTGCCTTCCATTCTGCTTATTTTCCGTTTCTCTTTTTTCTTTTCCTTTTAAATCGATCGACCTTCTTCCGACGTTGTCATCTATAGAAACGGCGGTCGATTGTGTCTGCGAGCTATTACCGATTTGGAACTCTTTTGCGACTCTAATTGGATACATTCACGGTGAAGGGGGCGAGCATACAGATAAGTAAATACTTTGTTCAGTCGTTTCACGCGAGAGACCTGTACTGTGCAGAGACGAGAAGATGGCCAGCGGGATGGCTGTTGGGACAACTAGTGTGGGTCGTCCTTAGAAGGACGACTCTATCAGACCAGGTTTCTACTTTCCATCGAAACCACCAACCGAAGAACAAGCCGGAGAATGAGCGAGGACGCCCGACCATGCTTGAACCCCAACTTTGGCGGTAAGGATTTTTGCTCTTGGACTTTTTTCAATTTCTAGACGTTAGTAAGGATGGAACTTTAGTAACGTGTGAAATTTCAGCCTGATAAAACCAGCAGCACGGGGCTAAGGATTTTTGCTCTTGGACTTTTTTCAATTTCTAGACGTTAGTAAGGATGGAACTTTAGTAAGGTGTGAAATTTCAGCCTGATAAAACCAGCAGCACGGCGCTTCCAGAGACGAATGTAGAGCGGTCACCCACATCTTCTTACGGAACGCCGCCCAGTGCATCTTGACTTCGGTGATCGAACGGGAACCGGTAGACATGCACGGCTACGGCCGCTGGTTAGCTGTTGGGACAGTAAATTATACCAAGTTTTGCTGTTTTTGAGTATTCGATTGTTTGTTCACTTGGCGGGTACTTAAATTTACGATCGTGAGGAACGCCTAATACTTGATTGGTTCTTAAGCACTTGGCCTCTCCTGCTCAATAGCAATTCACGTGTCGTGATCTTATTCCTCGGGTCAAGAACTGACGAATAAGTGCACGACAATAGACAACCAGGACCTTTTCGAGATTCCCCTCGACGCTGATCTACAGTTACTTGCAATTGATGCACCGACGACAGAACCATTACGCCCACTTTCCATTGTACAGAACTATTTTCCTACCTTCTCTCCATTTTTCTTGAGACACCTTTTGGTGGACGAACATGGGTAAAAGGACCGGGACGGTTAGTATTAAGTCATTTTGAACCCTCTTTAGGTAAACATATGTTTTCATACTCCATAGGCAAACCGGGTCGTTTATATCCAAGTTTAATTTTTTCACCGTTCTAGGCTTTTGACAAATCTGAAAAAATTCTTGGACACTTGTCGAAGTTTCTACTACATTGCACAATTGTTCGTTGAGCTGAATATTTAAAACTTTTTTCACTAATCGAAGATATGCAAGAGTGAAACTTCGCTTGGGTCATTAATGACCTAGATTGCTTACGAAGGGTTAAGATACATATGTATATAAAATACCGAACCCTGAGAAGATTCGTGTGATTCGCTCGTTTCTGCATCTCTTGGACATTACTGTGACACTTTTGGATAATGCTTCGAAAGGTCCTGGGTGTCAATCGACACGAAATTTGGAGGGCAGAGAGAGTGGGCCCAAATATAAGATATTAGCTTCAGCCAATCATTAATTACCGAGATATTAACAAAATTTTCAGTACTATACATCGAAATTGAGTATACAGACGTTACTAATGCATGGGTAGATCTACCGCAGATAGTTCGTTAGATCGTTCACTATCGCTCTATCCTTCTTGGTCTCGGTATGCCCCGTTTACTGTTTTCATCACACGATGCTATATGTTTCGATTTCTATTCGTCCGATCATTTCGGACAAAAACAAAAATACACGTGCCCTGTCTTTACAGACGGGCCTGTTGCACTATAATCAACCAGATCCGCATATTTCTTCCGTTGGTCAACTTCTCATCTCTGCACAGTACTTACTTCGAGATCCTTTCCAAACTTGATAGGAGGTTCAGTTCGGTAAGGAAAATCGTTGAGGTAGGTCGCTTGCGAAACACGGCGACAGAGACAGGTGAAAAATAGACGAGAGGAGTAAAACAGTTATCAAGTCTAACAGTTATGAAAGATAGTGGACAACGCAGAATAGAGAGTGTAGAAAGACAGGGACAGAGAGATTCTATACATTTCCCGGAAATAGAGATAGAGATAGGATAAAATAGATAGAGAGAGAATATCAAGTGAATTTTGTTGTATACGTGTGTTTTAGTTGTGATTATAACGTGTCTCTGTATGGTGTTAATTGAGTTTTGTTCTAACTTACCAGAGGATCGTGCAGGGAGGGTGTTACTATCAGGTCTGAGTGGGCTCGGTCACCTTTTCTCTGTAAAAAGAAAACAAAAAATGGTTTACTCGTAATTTTCTTATTTATTCATGTTTATCACAATATTATAATTGTAAGCTGGGAATTCAATTATATAGTAACAATTTAAAAAGTATAGTTACAATGCAATTGTTGTAATTATCAAACAATTCTAATTATGGACTGAATTAAAGTTTTAATTGAAATTTAAAATCTAATAATAAAAGCTGAATCCAGGAAGATTGCCTAGATTTTTAACTTCAGAATGAATTTTCCATAGTTTGACATTCTTGGATAAGTTTATAAATGAATAGGAACTCGGATGCAATAGAAGTTGCAATGAAATTATTTCAATCATCAAACAATTCTACATATTTAAATTCTAATAATAAAAATGAAATCCAGAAAAGTTGCTCAACTTCAAAATCCCCAAATTGTCCGTTAAAAGAAAATTTTCAATAGTTTCACATTTCTCTTCCATTTCGTTCAATCAAGACTTCAATTTGACAAAATTGACATCGCTATTGTTTGAAGCATACCCTAGACATGGCTACCCGAGGCCTGTAAACTAGATCGTCGAAGGCAGCCCTGTCTTTGCTGTCTACCAATTCTCTGAGCTCGGTCAGCAGGGTCAGTTTCTCATGTGTGTTCAGCAGATCGCCTAAACTGACTACCAAGTCTTCGATTGTCATTCTACGCGTTCTATAATCAGCCAGAAGCTGCGAGAGAGCAGCTCTTTCGCTTCTCGCAAGAACAACCCTCGCTTTCTCCTCCACCATAGCGGCTGTCGCCGCGGAAACCGTGTGCATACCGCCTCTGTGTCTCCAATCGCTAGCAATGCTAAAAAGAAATATTGATAAAATCATTTAATTAACACTTCAGACGGTTGAATTTTTACTTCAAGTCGTTTAATTTTCGAGATATTTCAAAAATATCTGAGGGATGTTTTCACCCCTTCGACATAGATACTCATCGATAGGAAAAACATTTGTGGAACGTGTTAATATAAGGTCATTCAACCGTTAATTAATAACACCACCCTTTTTGAAATTTGGTATTTCTTTTTTCAAGAATTTAGTTCAATGCAGGGACTTCTACCGAAACTTAAAATACCGGTGCATTTACCTATGTTTACCGGTAATTTTTTCGATTTTCTTATTTTATTACAGTTTTCAGAATATTTTAATATTTTATCAACTATATTTTTATTGCTATACTACAATTTATTAGTCACTGTTATTTATTTATTACTACATTATTAGTGTACTGTTTGCTAGGACGTCCTGGTCACGCAACGAAGCTTCGGTTTGGCGGATTATCGCAATAAAATGTGTTAGTCACCATAGACCCTCCGTGGACGAATCAGCGCCGCGACCAAACAACTGTCTTTCCCTTGAACAACCGAAAACACTCATCGAACAAAGGCGGAAGAAAGTTCCGTTACTGGGGATCGAATTTATTAACAACAAATATATGCATAAATAAAAATATCTCAGAAACATCGTCAAAATATAATTAAAAATATCTTGAAAGTTTCAAATAACGAAATACAGAACCGAAAAAATTATCGGTGAACATATACTAATATATTAGTATCTTTACACAAAAAGATATAATGTTACATCGGTATTTTTATAGTTCTAATTAATAAGGATTATGAAGACTATCACTAGCAGATGAATAACCACGAAACTAGCGCATGCTAACAACTGATCTTGCGTACGCATAATTTTCTGCAAATTTAAATTAATCTTATCGATATCGTTTTACAAGTCTTGATTTTTCAAGAGTAGCGATTGCACAGCAAACACAAGTAATCAACTGATTCCTCCCAAGAAATTGAACAGTGTTCGCGAACTGTTCGTTGGCGAGGACGCACCTCTAGAAATGATAGTGAGATTTGCGTTTCATGAAAGAGGTATTTTCTTACGTAGGACTCGGTGGACGATGATTTCCAGGGCTCTCGAGAAGTAGAGGATCGTGTTCAGGGTACCTAGAAGTAGGCATGACGATGGTTTGGCTAGTGGTGCACGAATGTGGCACTTTTCCCACGTCGCGAATTAGGAGTGTCATCCTTTTGTTCGTTTTCAGGATTTCCACTGCCTCGTCGTGGGTTGCCTCTTCGAAGTTTTGCCCATTCACCTCGATGATCTGGTCTCCTACCTACAGACGAACACAAATTCGCATTTTTCTATTAACAAATAACGGAATAATCAAACTTCACTCTCCTACTCCTAGATAACAATCAACTTTCGAAATTATCCAGTTTTTTGTACAATTCCAGAGCCCAGAAACATGTGGAAAGCACCCTAAAGTTTCTAAAGGAAATCGAAATTTACAAGAAAATATAAGTACCAGAAGAAAAAAAATTACTAGACCAAGCTGTGGCTAATAACCGAGAGATCGATGCGACGTAAAACATATATATAAAAGATAGAGAAGAAATTTTGAATTTTTATCGAAATCCCTTCGATTACTGTGGTTCACGGACGAAAACCGGAAACGACCCTGAGTGGTTGCCTTTCGAACGCCGTCGAATTTTCACGATTGTTAGCGCCCGCCTGCTGAAGCATCATTTCGATCCACTTTCGTCATCTGAGTGCTTGCAGCCGTTCTAGCGCGGCGCATTAATTAATTCTTCCTGACATTGAATTACGTAACGAACTAATTGATACCGTCCGTTATTCATGAACGTCCTATTACGTCGATCGTACGCTAAATCGCCTCCCCTCCATATTCCGGACAACCTTCTCCCAATGTCAATGCAATTAAAGAACACAATAGAATTAAAAAAGAAAACAATGAAAATTCAGCTTCGTTATTTAGAAGGAATTCTAAAATACTGTTACTCGAGAAATATCAATATTTGACAGGAAGTAAAAGTTACTCGGAGCGGAAATGCCGAAAGAGCAGAAAAGCCTCGATTAAAATACGAATCAAAATGGTAAATCGAAAGTTGGAAAATTAAACTTTATAAAACAGAACGAAAATTACGAGCTGACCCGGACTAACGCAGTGTTAAGAACACCTACTAAGAAACATCTACTCTCGAACGTATAAAACGTCGGTATAAAAGGAAAGAAATACAGGGCAAAGGTTCTTCAATTTTATCACCACCAAACTGCTCTGCTGGGACATCGAACGAGAAAGTCCAATAAAAACAGACAGTGAATTGAGCTGCTGCCGCCTGCTGGTGGAGGTGCTGGTGGAAAAAGGAAATAGAATCCAGTATACTCTTACCAAAAGTCCAGCTCGATCGGCCACGCTGTCTTTGTCGACCCCGGTGATATAAATTCCAAGGCCGTACTCGAGGCCACCCCTGATCATCAAACCGAGAGACTGGCCGGGTTCAATGCAGAGCTCGACCTTCCTCGTTCTCGGCCCGTACCTCGAGTCTCGAGGTGGAGGTGGTGAGGTCGGACGACCTTGACGGTCGATCCAGCAGCAGGATTGCTGGCGACCGGAAGAGGACCACACCGGATGTCCGCCTCTGCAATGTGGATCCAACGCTGGACCTCGAACGGTCATGCTTAGTGTCCTGCAGGACTTCAACATCTGCGAAGAAAAAAAAATTGGCACGGATATTCGTTAGATATTAATGTTCGTCGCGTAATTTTATGGAAATTATCGTTCATTTATACTACACTGTTCGTCAAAAAGAAATTACAGCATTTTAAAATCAAATCGCACAAATATGAAATTTTGAGGTGTTGAAAGGGGAGAAACGATTAGAAGGTTGAAAAAGGTATTATTTATTTAAAAAAAAAAAAGATCATTTTTTCCTCAATTCTTTTCAATTCTCCTCAATTTTTTTCCTCAATTTTTTTTTTCAATTTTTTTTTAGCGAGCAGTGTATTTTAATATTATTTAATATTAGTCAAAACTTTGCAGTGTACACGTTGTAAATTTTATACAGTTCCCTTTCTGCTCAGGAAAACATATTTTCTGTCATTTCAAGGTCATTTGCGAATATTCCAATACACTGAATTTCGAATATTCGAGTATTCGAATATCAGTAACATTCAGATTTCAAGTTCGAATTGTTGAATATTGTATAAGTAGAGTATTCGAATATTCGAAATGTACCTGTACGAAATATTGAGCATTGAATTATCTGAGTAAAGAATTCGAACTCGAAATTATTTGAATTATCGGAATAAAGAATTCATATTCGAAATTATCCGAATAGAGAATTGGTATCCGAAATTATCCGAATAAAGAATTGGTATCCGAAAATATCTGAATAAAGAATTGGTATTCAAGATTATCCGAATTATTCGAATAGTTCGACTATTCAACGTTCTACAGTAACATTAGAACAGAATAATTTCCTCCTCCGATAATTTTTCGTTTCATCGAAAGAAATGAAGATAGTTTAGATACATTACTCGGGTTAGAGGAAACACTGTACAGTGAGTTTAGTAATATAGATTTGTCAATATTATTGCAAGTTTGGTAATGTAGATTTGGTAATATTATTGCACGTTTGGTAATACAGATGGTGTGGTAAAGGACTAATTACAAGTTACGAAATACTAACAACGAGGTATCTCGAAGTGTGAATCAGTAATGTATAATAACGCAGTTGTTGGAAAATATTTGACACGTATTTATCGTACAACGTCGAATAAACGATATCTTAATTTCAATCTCATCTTAATTAAGTTTAGATATTCGATATTTCGCGCTTTGCAGTTCCATCAAAATCAATGATATTCACACTTTGCGAATTCTCCCCGGCGAGCAAAGGCATTATCTCGCGAGGCTTTTAAATTACAGTTAACTACCGAAGTGATTCACGCTACAGTTTCACGGGATCGAGTTTAATTGCATCAAATTACGAGAACGTAACGCCTTGTCTCGTTTCGTTAAGAAATGAATTTATTTTAAAGCGGCGGCGAGAAACGTCGGTGAATTTACTGCTGTGCTATAGAACAGCTTTAGGAATTAACACCGGTTCGAGGCGATGTTAATAATTCCTCTGTACAACGCGATCCGATCCGATGCAATTAACCCTCCTATTGTTAGCAATTACACTCACTTCTTGTTGACTATCCGTTCTGAAACCCGACGATTGCAAGCTGCATTTTGTTAGTAATTAACGAAAAAAAAAAAAAAGAAACGAAAATGCTTTTCAGTTGCGTTCGAATTTATCGAACACCTCGTTGAGATATTTCTAGGAGAAATATTCGTGGAAAATGTGATTAGTATTGTGAGGGCATTTGAAGACCACTGAATAGTTTTTAAGAGAAGACAATTTTAACCCTCTACGACCGGCACGGGCAACCTTTCCTGGTTCTGGGGCCAAATTATCATTCTCTCTCCGAGTCAAGGGCCAAACTAATGTTGTTTGTTATTGGATTTTATTGGATTATTGGAATTTATTCTACGACCGTGAAGAAACGTCTTTACTGTTTGAAATGCTCTATGGCAGTGGTCTCAAATTGGCGGCTGAATACATTTTAATTATGTATTTGTTGTAAATACGGTGCTTAAAGTTTTAGAGTCATAGAGATACGGACTGATCTTATATGGCGACTGCTATTGAAAGAAATTCCGGCCCGTTAGCTGCTTTCAGATCGTGCATTCGGCCCGCATGCAATTTGAGTTTGAGACCACTGCTCTGTGGAACTGTCTCTGGACACCCAAAAAGAGAACGCTGGGGTCCGCTTGTACCAACGAACTGTTTACCCTATTGTATTGCAGTGTGCAGTGCTTGACTCTAAGACGAACACCAGACACATCTGGTGGAAGTCCTAGTGTCATTGTCTAAAAGAACGCCGAGACATTTTTGTCCTTGCTCGATTATTTCTACAGAGTGTTCTTAGAAATAATCCAACATTTGTGATTATGTGTTCGATACAACTTTGGCTAAATATTAAATAAAAAAGGCTAGTATGTTAAATAAAATTATAGAATGAAGCACGATACTAATCGGTACCTAGAGGGCCTGGAGAATTTAAAGACTTCACGGGGACGGATCGCGGGCCATATTCTGCCCATGGGCCGCGAGTTGCCCATATGTGCTCTACGACCTGATTTTCCTTCGTTCATGACTTTTTTTTCACATTTTCACTGGAGAAGGAAAAATACGTATACAAAACAATTACTGCACAAAGTGATAATTATTAATGTAATGCAATAGTGTAACAATAAATAAATAAAACGAGCCCATAAAATATAGAAAAATGTCTGCGCAACTTCCAAGTCGCACGGTGTTACAGAGGATTAATTTTGAAGTTGAAGTAATTTCATCCAAGTTCTGTCGAATTTCTAATCCCCGTTCATTCTAACCTAATAAAGATTATTATGGTAAAATCGTCAATTCGATATTCATTTACGCGTGCGTGGAATAGGGAGTTATATTTCGAACGTGAAGCGAACGCTATATTGGAAGTTAGGTTATTGCACTCTCTATCGAATAAATAGAGGCGTCAGGGGGCTTAGGACGTCCTTTGAGCATTATTCAAGCCTCGTGACGTTGCTCTTATGCAAAAGAACCGGCGAACACGTATCAGCAGCGGGAGATTCCTCGCTGACGACCTCAGAATAGATCGCTTATACGTGTCGTGCCTCAGCGAACTGAAAGAAATCATTGTCCGTGAAGGGTTTCTTCCGCGGGCAACCTTGGCAAGCGAAACAGCGGACAATCGGCGCGTGTCGGGTCAACGAGGAACAAACGATTTCTGTGCCGGTTTCTCCCTCCTCCCGCGCCTTACGCTTGCAGGCAAGGATGAAAGCCGCGACACGATCCTTTGCGAAATTTCCAAAAGACCGCCTCAGCTGCGCCTCGCGTAACAACAACCCCGAGTGTATATATGTATAATACTTGCGATCACGCGTCTCTGCCAACGGATTCTTCTACGAAAATACGTCGACTTTTTGCTACGCTGAAAACTAGAGAATATGACATTCGAAAGTATCTGAACACCCGTACTGTTCGCATAGAAAGTATTGCAGATTATTTTTCTTCGTTGAAGTTGGTAGATACCATTTATTTGGTAAAAATGTATCGCACCTTCCTGAGAAAAGTGTGAAAAACAAAAATTTTTTAATATTCATTTTATCGCTTGGAATATCTTCTAAGAAAAGTCAGAAGCTGGACTGTAATACTTGAAGTGAGTAAATTTTAGCGGACGTATGTTTCGAAAATTTTCTCGCACTATACTGTTAGTAATACCTCAATTTAATACTTAATTTCATCCTTTACGCGCTTTCACCTTAACTTAGTAAACCGAAGTTCAGAACGATACGGCCAAAGGAAGAAATTTTTCAGCCGTCGTTTATAATTTACCGCCAATCACCCACGTCACGCGTTAAAATCTGCCGTAGCGAAAGGGTTAAGTAATTTTCCAAAAAGAAAGTTTCTTCTTGCTCTCGTCAAAAATTTCATGTTTTCCACTTGTGATAGCTTTCTCGTTCTACGTTAAGAGATTCCAGATTGAACAGTTTCTTTCGGGATTCTAATAATTTTCTAACGACTGTTTAAAATTTACATTACCTATTAAATGTAAACACTATTGGAAAACTTCGCCCAAACGCGTGTAATTCTTGTTTAGAAAAAGGCAGGTGAAAAACTGTTATCAAGAAGTACACGTGCAAAGTTTGAAAAACCTGGTTCGAATGATTTTATGCGCGATCGAGGAAATGTTAAAACTGAAGATGAAACTGGAGGCCGGAAATCCTGCGAAAGATTTACGCTCCGTAGATCTTTCGAAATCTGTCGCTATTCGAACTCCAACGAGAACTTCAACTAGACGAAATACTCGAAAACTCATGTGAACGAAAGAAACTCCGACAAAAACTTCTTCCACTACATAAAATATTCAAAAACTCAGATCTTCGCACCAATCCTGAAATCAATTCCAAAGGAACTGCAGGGAAAAACATCTGAAGACACTCAGCAAGATTATTCTTGCACTCAAACAGTTTTCTAGAAATTTTCTAGAAAACATTCACAGAAGTGCTGGTACCTACACGTGTATGTACCTACTCGTCGAATTTTCAACATCTATTTATTCGAAAATAAAGCCTCGTATGGAAAAATATTATTCTACATAATCGACTTAATTTTTGTCTATTAAGAATTTTCATTAGTAGTGAATCAATCAAGTATTTTTTGTCACAGAGGATACGATTTCAAAGGATCTTCAAGATCACGATCTCAAATTCTCTCTACGTCTTTTTTTAAATAAATTTCCAATGTCACGTTCAATTCTTGCATGTAGAAACGAATTTATTACATTAAGGTCGTTAAATTCGTCTCAAAGCCTGTTAGCTAATAGCCAAAAAAAAAAAAAAAAAAAAAATGAAACTATAGAGTTATACATAAGAAAATTGAAAGAGACCTAGGAAACTTATTTAAAAAAGGACATAGAAAAAAATCTAAGGTCGTCACTTTGAGGATGCTTTAAAATCCTATCCTCAATGGCAAACAAATTTTTAATCGGTCCATTAATAACGAAAATAAATAAGGCCCTGTGTATTCACCAGTTCAGAGACACCCTGTATACACAGATTCCCAAACAAAGACGCATACTTCGATGGATAAACTC